GGATCTTGATAGATGTACAGGTCAAAAAATTCTAGTTACAAGATCTCTAAAGTGAGTAAAGGAGAGTGCAACAATTTCACAGCCAACTGTGCAAGGAGTGAAGGATGAAGTTGTTATTCTCTCTAGTGATGAAAGTGAAGAAGATGAATTTCCTAACATAGCTTCCCAAACAAGTATGTGTGTTCCTTCTGGACTAGTTTTTGAAGTGGTGGATAAGGCATTTCGGCAATCTCGATCATTACGGTTGGAATTGAAGAAGTTCCAATACATGAGAGGTGAGGAGCTTCCTTCTTCCTATAATGGGAATATATTCTTCGAGTTTCCACCGGCCAGTTCGTCAAGTAAGAAAAGGGGTATGGAGACGCGTCTTGATCCACATAATTGGTGTAAAGTAAAGACAACCCAGTTCTCGCATTTCGATGGATTTGTGTCTATAGTCCATTGTGGTGGACAGCTTCAGTGTGTCAGTGAGAAATGCATTTTTGATCATGGCAAGAATATGTGTTTCTTTGAAGGCTTAGCGATCAATCCGTCTAGGCATGATGAGGTTGTTACAAGGTTTAGATGTCGCAAATGCAGGGCAACACTTGTGTATCAAGCATGTTGCGATGCAAAAATGTATTATTTTCTTTCACGAGATGGATGTTTAAGTAGAGCAGCAGTGTATGTTGGATACCACCAACATGTAATAGAGGAAGGAATCCGCCATGGTTCTTTTTGCAATTTGAAAGTTGCTATTACTATAGAGGCTAGGAAAAAAAGTTCTGCAACTCCAAAGTGTGTTCAATAATCTGTACTAAAGGACTATATAATGGATATGTTGCTATAAGCTGATAGCAAAAAATAGTTCATAGAGAACAGCTTGAAGGACTTGCTTCGAAATATAAAACCCGTGACAAATTTAAACAGGTATAAGATTAATACTTAACTCTACTATCACTATAGAAACATTTTTTTTTTGGCAGAATAAAGAATTGGATGCAAGAAGGGTGAGATGGAAAACTTCAATCTAGAATTGATGCAATTTTGGAGTTAAAAACAAAATGTCCCTATGAGTTTATTCATGGGAACTTTTGTTTGTTGGCCAAATGACTTCAAACAATCAACGCCCTTTCATCTTTAAGATGTCCACCCTTGGTCCTGCTTCTCATATGGACCTTGTATAACGAATGGATATGGATGGAGATGGAGACTTGGCTAATTTCTGGATTCATTTCGACCACATGGAATGAGTTTTAGTGTAGTCAACAATGGGAGCTCATGTTTAAAAGCGTTCATGGAGAATAGCTTGAAGGACCTACTTCGAAATATAGAACCCGTGACAAATTTAAACAGGTATAAAATTAATACTTAACTCTACTTTATCACTAATAACTCTCTTTTTTTTTGGTAGAATAAAGAACTAGATGTGAGAAGGGCGAAATGGTAAGCTTCAATTTAGATTTGATGGGATTTTGGAGCTAAAGAAAAAATGTCCTTATAAATTTATTCATGGAAGCTTGTTCGTTGGCCAAGTGACTTCAAACAATCAACGCCTTTTCATCTTTAAAATGTCTACCCTTGGTCTTACTTCTGGTCTAGACTTTGTACAATAAATGGATATGGATGGAGATGGGAACTTATCATCACAAGTAGGTAGCTTTTCATTTTTAAGGATTTCATATTGATTTACATTATAACCATTCCTTCTATAGGTTGCAGTGCAACTTGAGTATAGCTATAGCCGAATTCAAGGTTTAAGATTTCCAAGCTCAAACCATCTTTTGGACATGTATGTCCAAGGTTGTTGAACAACAAAGAGGGAAGAAACCCAACTTCTGTGGTTTCATGGAAGATGCTATTGGTGCTAATTGGTTGACTGTATAACAAATATTTGGAGGTGATAAAAGTCAGCCATTACAAGGTAGAGAGAAGAGATGTGAGTTTCATTAGGCAAAGAATGTCAATGAACATTGCCGATGCATCAAGTCTAGCTTCCATCATGAGTTCAAACAGCTTTGTCAGGAATGAATGGATGCACTAACTAAAAAGGAGCACAAGGCAAAAGTAAATGAGATATGCATATGGTGGCATGAAGGAGACAAAGTGTCAATTGAACACCTTTCACAAATGGAATGCTAGGTTGTATGGTAGGAAGTTTGAATGTTTCAGTGGGGCCATTATATTCTCCATGCAAGTTTTCTCTGATTTTCTTTAATTGTCACATTCAAATGTTGCATTTTTCCTAAGATCAACCACTTGATGACATTGCACTTACACCAACAATTAATCTATCTAAGAGCAAACATTGGAGTTGGAGAGCTTCTGAAAGCAGGGAAAGGAAAAGTGTCCTTCTATAAAGCTATGCTTTCCGACCTCACTAGATCTCTTAAACAGTCATCAAAAGCTTTGGCTACACAAGAAGCAAGGTTTGCTGGTATAGGTCCAAACTTAGACAAGCTTTGAAAGCAAGTTGGTAGAAGGACAACACTAACAACAGGGTCAATATCTAAGATGGTGGAAGAAGTTGTTACTAGAACTCCTATAGAATCAAATTATGAACCACTTAGAGAAATGAGGACAGCCCGTGTGAAGTGTCGACAGATATTTGATGGGCCCAACATCACTCATTCTAGCTTTCACCATCCAGAGTTTAACTACCATTCTGTTCCACGACACTAGAGAAGAGCTAAGGAACATGGAGTGGAGGAGGTGTCAATTGTTACACAAGTAAATCCAATGCATAGGTTGAGAAGATTATTGCTTATGAGCTAGTTTCTCGTATCAACTAGGCAATTTGAACAGTCAATGCCAAGAGTAATGCACGTTGATTGCAAGTCGAGGTCAGTGTCTTGCATTTGTGTGCTCAGGTTCAAATTCTTCAGTAGTACCATATTTCTAGGGCTGTCAAGATTTAGGGGTAAAGGGTCACTAGTCAAGTTGGATTTATTGTTGTGGGACTGATGTTACTCATACAAACTGGATCCTCAGCTCAATTATCTTGAAGCCAAATTCTATGCTAGAGGAGTAGCCAGTTGAGTATTATTGATACTGCTATGCCACCAATGTCAACACTAAACCAGCATACACGACCAGCTAGAAATGGGGAGGATGTACAATATATGTCTTCCATTTTAAAAGGTGCATAAGAGAAAATCAAGTTGGAAAAGGCGTTGAAGTGCACAATAACAAGGATAAACTACATTAGTGCCGTGGCTATGGAGTTCATTGTTATAACTAAGTTGTCAAAGGGTACAAACGACACTATCAGAATCTGTGAAAATCCATCTTGTACCTGTCCAGATTTTACACAAAGGGAGAACAAAGGAAAGGTATATTTAGCTTGCAAGCACATTTATTGTATTTTTATGCAGAAACTAAACCAAGATCCTAAGGTTGACCATCAGATCCATCAGACAAGCCTTACAATTGCAAAGCTTAAGAAGTGTTTCTAGATTTTTTTTAGTGTTTGAATCTATATTTGTATTTGTATTTTTAGTAATCATATTTACTTGGAAATATAGATTAAATCAAAATTTGAAAAATGAAAAGATGTTGGTTCGGGATGAGCCAATGTTTTCCTTGTGTTTGAGAAGTCATGAGTTCAAAACCTACCCGGCTCCCGACAAATAACTTTCAATACCCAAAGTCACATTCGCAATAAATATCTAGCTTCAACCAACACCATCCTCCTTAATAACTTGCTTGAGTAAATAGAATCATTTGAAAGAAATCCTAAAATAAGTCACGAAGTGTCTTAAGTTTCCACTAGCAAGATAAACTTACTTCAGATATACTAGTATTAAAATCCATGCTATGAAATTGCATCTCATAGTCTGGAGAGTGATGAACAAAGTTACTGCATGGTTGCTACTCCACATTTTCACCACCACAGTCAGGCCAGGCACCAAGAACACTTTTGCAAAACCAGTTTCTTGTAAGTGGAGATTACTGGAAGTTTCAAACCAATGAATGATCACCAAATATCTGCAACCACTTATAGGTAAATTGACTGAATGTTTTGAAATACAAAAGTCACCCCAAGAACTTCTGTGAGATCCAATCACTCATGATCCATCCATCTGGACCAAGCCTGAGAAATCAATCCAGAGATTTTTGTGCAGGACATCGACATGAAAGGAACTGACTTATGTCTCACACAGCCGAATGAGCTCTCAGCCTTGTGACTATTCTCCTCTGGACTGCTCGATTGGTTCAACAGTTTCTGGTTCCATGCAGACCCGATCCATCCGTGGTGTAACTGTAGTGTCACTGTAGTCAGTAGTTCTGCTGTTATCAGCGTTTGCCTGTCATTTCATTAGAGATGGTACAAACAAGAAGAGAAAATCCTCCAGCATTCAGGACGTCCCAAACCTCAGATTCCAACAAGCAACAAGGTGACTGCCTCAGGTCCACACTATGGAGAAAGGACAAGACGTTTTTCAAAGAACTTCTGGACCAATGTAGTATGGGCTTCTAACAGTGTCTGTGAAGACTTCTCTGTTAGAAAGAACAGAAAAAATGATATAAGGAAAGCAATAATCAAGTCTAGAAAGATTTTCAGCTAGAATTCTTCCTAGACTCTGGATGGACTAGAAAGAGATGATTGAAAGATGTTGAAAAAGTCAATAGCTTCATTGTTTGGACCAAGGTGACATTGGTAATGATGGAGCAAGTTTGTGGACAGGGTTGCTGCCATTGGCACTAAGGTAAGTTATGAGAAACTAAATTTAAACCCATATCAAATTATATAAAGCTAGATTTTCTTACTCTTTTTCTTTAAGAATATATTTGTTAAGTTTTGATTATTTTAAATTACAATAGTTTTGTAATTACCTTTCTTTTAAAAAAATACTATTATAAAAAAGTTGTGGTGCTTAAAAACGTTTAAGATGAGGGTTTTTTGTCTTGCCAATCTGGTAGAAGAGAATATACCTCATTTCTTCAAGATGGCTCCGTACGGAGGGAATATCCACGTACGGGCCCAAATTTGGCCACCTTTTCACGCCACCCTGAGATTTTCTTCATCTGGAAGCTGGATAAATTATAACTCTGATTCAGGAATATTCACTTGAGATCTGAACCGTTCCTCATCCGTGCCCTGATTTGCATTAGGGTTAGGAGTGGGGATGGCGTCTGGCTCTGAGCCCTTGCCGGTGGATGGGCTGATTTTCCGCCTCGAAAGGCAAATAGAGGGAGTCCTGACGCAAATATGTGAGGCTGAGGAGCAGCTGAAGGCAACAAATGATGCTGAGGAGAAGCGGTACTGGCGGAGAAGGGAGGATCAGCTGAGGCAAAACGAGAGCCAGCTGAGGCAAAAGGAGAGCCAGCTGAGGGAAGAAAAGCTTATCTTACTCAAGGGTAGGCATTGGATTTGTTCTTGACTTGTTCTTCCATCGCTGACAAATTTTGTTTTTGCAGCGCCTGCCACTGCCACTGATTCTGGTAAGATTTATGTTGTGTGTGTGCTTCTCTGGTGTACTGACGAAGTGTTCATTGGTCTCCTTGCCTTTCTATGTGTTCGTTCAAAGCCTAATTGTTTGATTTTGATTAAGCAGATGTGCAAGCTATCTTGGACCAAGTATGGAATAAGATACATAGAGCAGATCGACAACTTCCTAAGCCAAGTCATTTTAAGGCCAGTTATCCAGACGTTTGCAAAGGGACGGTTCCTCAAGCTCCTGGCAGTCGCAAACCTTGCCTTCTCTGGCATTGCCTCGAGGAGCCTTTTCGGGCCTCCAAATACATTCTGGATCAAGTGGATATAGCCCGTCCTGGCCTGGTGGTCCTTTTCGATGTTTCTGGCTCTGGAAAGACTCGAACACTATATGAGATTGCAGTCGACCGTTTGGCTCTGTATTTTGTTGGTGTTCCTATGGGACGGATTGGATCGGAGGGCTCTGCAGACTTGGATGCGCTGGTTAGTCGGCTAATGGTTCTGTATCCAGGAAACCAGTCAATTCCGATGCGCGTGACGCGGTGCTGCTTCAAAGCTGTTCTTCTCAGCAGATTCTTCATCTTAGACAAGTTGAAGGAGGTAGCAGGAAGCATGCCACCTCAGGTTTGGGCCAAGTACTGGTTGTTTAAGCAGGTTGGATTTGCGTTACTACCCTTCAAGAATGACCCGTTCTACGTTCTAAGTGATAGACTACTCGAGTTAGTATCCAGTGACACTGGGATCGAAGAGGTATTTGATCGTTTGATCGAGACACACAAGAGGGACTGGAGTGGGCCGATTATACTCGACGAATGCCAGGTGGTGCAGGACACCTTGGTGAATAGGTTTGATTCACCTACAGCTGGGTCAAGAACAAGATCTCTATTGGATGTGTTTGTGCCGGTGTTGGTCGATGCTGGGTTTCGCACAAGCACGTTCTACTATTCTGGTACAGGAGGAAGTATGGTTTCTGTTGCACGCAATATTTCTGCTACACTCAAACAGAGATTTTCAGTTGCAGTGTTCTGTCACTTTGGGGGATTTTATGAGGAGGCCGACCTGAAGGATTATGCTAGTCGGATCCTTGAAGATACATCACAGGTGGATTTTCACAGGGTCTTCCAGCTATACAAGGGGCGGTATAGGTTTTTCGTTTCAGCATTAGAATCGTTTATCTCTGAAAAGCTACCGCTCAGCAACGCAACTGCTTACTTCGTTGAATACGCCAAAGAGGTTTCTACTACAGAGTACAGGCCAATGGCAGTTAACACTTTGGGACGGAGTTCGCCCTTTCTTGACAGAACAGTCTACACAAGTGTAAAAGACTTTTTTCGGAAGCATCCCCTGGCTCTCGAAAAACTGAGTCTTATACTCTTCCATCAGTTCTATGGATTGAATGCTACGTATGTTGCTGTCAAGAACCCCAGCTTGAGTTTAATTCAATACGGACTAGCGAGGTTGGATGGCCGTCGGACGCTTGAAATGCAAGATTTGGATTCTTGGAAGGACGAGTCAGACACAGCGAACGTTCTATTGCGTATTGAGGAGCCTCTGGTTCTCCATTCTTTGTGGCACTATTTAACTGTCGGCGAACCAGCAGGCCTATCGAGTATAGCGGATACTGCTTATTGTTATAACGCCCAGTCAAGTAGCAGCGGAGTTGGGCACGGATACGAAATGATTGCAGTGGAGATGATTGCAAACGCAATGGACGGGATGCAACCTGCAAATTTGATCTCTAGGTTTCTTCAAGATGGTGTGTACACGGTCACTTCACATGAGTTAGAGATTCCAGAAATCTACACTAGAAGAGCGAAGCTTGTGAAACCAAGGATCCACAGTGAACAAGTGGCGCAGATGAGACACGAGCATAGTAAAGGCTCAGATGTGTATGATGTCAACGCATCAAGATATACTCTGCAGGAGTACATCAATGCTGTCAAGGAGAGGGACATTTTCCCATCCGTTTTATGGACAGGAGAATCCGGATTTGGGCCAGACGCCTTGTTTTTTCTAGACATGTCGGAGGGAGATGGAGGTGGTCAAGGACAAGTCTCAGAGACTGACACTGCTTGCTCCACCTCGCAGCAGCAACACCCGATGATCCTTGTTCCCGTTCTTGTGCAAGTTAAGACAAGTAAGGCGCTTTACCAGGTAAGCAACATGTCATCTTTTGATGTAATTGGACTTTTTTCTTTTGTTGTAGGGTGAAGTCAATAATGCTTTTTATACCTTGGATCTGAACAAGCTTTTCCAACACAAGAGTACACCGACCCCAACTGAAGTTACTGGTGCTGACTCTCTTCGAGAGTTAGCTCGTAATGGGTGCATTAAACTCTTGGTTTCTACAGATGTTAATCTGAAGAAGCAGTTAGGTAACCTTTATTTGAGGGAGGAAGCGTGCAGCAGTCGAGCTTCTATTAGAAGAGGTGAAAAGAAAATGAAAGTGGATCTTGGCACAAAGGCTTTGCTTGGTGTTATCGATAAAGATAACATCTTGGCTTTCGTTGATTCATGGTTGGTGGAGGCTACGTTTGTTCATAAAGATGCTATTTGACTAAAGATTAAAAGTTAAATATAAACTACAATATAAATGTATTTCATTCTTAGTCGGGAGCCACAAGTAGATCAGTGTCTTTCTTTCTCATACAATGTGAGCTTATGATTTGTTTTTCTTCTTCTTTTTGGTTCTTGGTGACAAGAAAGGAGTCTCCAACAAGCAAATCAGACTGAAAATCCTTTTGCCAAATGTCACGCTGGTAGATCTTCCACGTGTTCCAGTTGGTTTGTGGTGCATTGCAGGCTGCAAGTGATCAGCCATCGGACAGAGAAAATCATTTCAAAGCAAAGATCTTGTTGGATATCAAGCAAGCATGCGACATAGTCTTGTTTGTCCACAAACACCGATCTCTTAAATCCAGACTCACTTCAAATGGATGCTGTGGTTCATTTTTGTTTTTTGTTTTATGACTATGATAACTTGTAGGATAGAACGATTGGAGTTGTGACCAAGGAGATGGTCACATTGCTGAAAGAGCCTGCAAGAGTGCCGCCCAAAATCAGAGATTGTTCAAAAGCATGGAGGTATTTCTATAAAACCATTAGCAAGAGGAATAGGCTAGTGGTTCTAGAAGCACAAGGAGGATAGATAGCAAGGAGATGCACAAAGGTATACAAGTGATGTCTCGGGGATTTGGATGCAGGCATTTATGGATGGAGCACGCAGAAAGACAGAATTATGAAGATGTTAGGTGCCAGCTTTGACCACGTGGTCAACGTCGGTCAAAGGGAGGCTCAAGGGTATATTAAAGCATGTTAAGGTAAAGGACTCAACCCTACCCTAGGGCTTGAACTTGAATGGTCCAAATCTCCACAGCTTCATCGGCACCATCATCGGCAATAGGATTCCAGCGTTCAGCTTGGTCGACCATCGCAACTAACTCCTCTGATACCAATGTTATGATCCGGCGCAAAAAGACAGAAATCTAGTCACCCTAAACTATGCTACACCACCTCTTGAGGTTCCTCACCACCCAACCACCCCCGAGCTACCTCAAAAGCTCCACTGCACCACCACTCCACTGTGTGGCTGTTAGGGGACCTCTAGATGCAGAGGCTTTAGTGGTTATTCCAATGGTTTTGTGTGATGTGGGTTTTCGATGGTGGAATTGGCTTGAGGAGTCCTGTGTTGCGGATAAGAAACCACCAGTGTCTACCATGGATGAGTTTGAGGCTGCTTTCCGTTTACATTTTGCCCCTCATTACGATATGAAGAATGCTCATACAGAACTTCAACATTTCCAGCGAGGGAAAATGACACTCAGGGACTTTATTAAGAAGCTTACTCGCTTGATTAGTCGTGTTCCAACGAAGGATCCAGATCAGAACAAGTCCTACTTCATTGATGGCCTACATAGTGAGAGCATGCGGCACCACTTGCGTCATTCTCAGCCTACAAAGAGTTTGGAGGAGCTCTTTGATGCAGCTCGTCGACTTGACAATGACAAGCACAAGTCTCGCAAGCGTTCGCGGAGTCCTTTTGTCGAGAATCGTTGTGATGATCGCCGTGGACACAAGGATGGGAACAAGCATCACAAGTTGAAGTCAGTGGTGACTACTTCGGATGCAAAGGGGTCTAAGAAGTAGAAGTTCTTTGTGAAGAATTATAGACAAAGTTGTCATCATTGTGGCGAACTTGGACACTACAAGGCTGATTGTCCACAGTGAAGAACAAGCAGTAGGACCAGAAGAATGGCCAATCTTCTACTCACAGTAAGTTAGATACTAAAAAGTTGCAAACTTTGCAGTGTGAAGATGACGAGAACGACCATTCTGGTCGGAGGAAGAGACTTTTGATCATTGCTCGTCAACTCAACTGTGTATGGAACAAGATGGAGCTTGAGGATACTCGTGAATCAGCTTTAGTGCTAGAGGGCGTGTTCCGTGGCGATCTAGTGTGGATTTTACTGGATAGTGGGAGCGATGACAACTTTGTTTCGGCAAAGTTTGTTGCGGAGCATGGCCTGGTCACACGTGGAGTTCTTCCATACACGATGGAAGGTGCAGCTACCTCTGCTCAGCATTTCGATGCTTGTGTCGAGGAGCTGGAAGTGTTGGTTAGCAAAACCACACTTTTGGAGACTTTTTATCTCGTGGATATCCATTGTGTGGATCTCATTTTTGGGATGCCATGGTTGGTGAAGGTGGATTCAAAGATAAAGTGGAGTATTAAGCGTGTCTAGCTGGAGTATGATAGTGTTAAAGATGTGTGGTTTGACAAGGGCATTCAACCACCAGTTGTTCTGCTCTGTGCTACATCTTTGAAGCGGCTTGTCATAATGGAAAAGCACTTTCGAGTTACTTGCTGTTTGTTTGTGACTTGGGGGACCAAGGCATGTGTGGGGGAGAAGCAACAGTACGGGATGTACTTGACAAGTTTTTTGATGTTTTTCCATCTGAACCTCCTCATAAGTTGCCTCCATTACAAGGTGTGGAGCATGGGATTACATTGGAGTCGAGGACGCGGCCAATTTACC